CTGGTCTTATTAGTTACCCGGTCAGTTTAATTCTTGGAACTTTTGTTATTTTTTTCCAAGTTATAAGTAACATTTATCGATAAGGACTATTTTTCTTTCGCTTTCTTCACGGACGTTGTCGTTCTTAGTCAGTAACTAACCTAGGTATATAAAGGTGTCCACACGTTCTAACTCCATATCGTCAATTTATTAGTATAGGTGTCTGATTATCAGACTTGGAGACGTATATATACTTCGTATATATATATATATATATATATATATATATATATATATATATATATATATATATATATTCATTTTTAGTCCAATTTTCAGACGTCCTCAACTATCAAAAAGATCATCAAACTCCCTTTTAGAAAGTTTGAGGATCTGGCGATTAAGTCAATGTCGTCTGTATATCCATTGTATCTTTTTAATGTAGGGACTTCTACTGAAGGTTAACGACCACCAAACGATATCTTTCTCTATTTTGTTCCGCATATATTATGTTCGCAGCTTCTGGGTAACAGAGCCGCAGGCTGTCTGAATGAAACAATATGGAGAAATAAAAATATCATGAAAAAAAAATGAAAGGCACATGTGTAGGATGTAGGTTAAATCTTATTAGAATTTCACGTATTAAAAAAAAACAAATCACTTAAACTAAACTTGTATTGAAGTAAAAAGGCACATGTAAAATATGTTGTAAACAATAAATTGAAAAATAGCGTCCTAAGCGTAATGATGTTGTGTTGAGACTCGGTTGTGGACTGTATTTCTCTTCTCCTCGTCACTACCGGCATCCCCTCTCGAAGGGTGTAAAATGAACGTCGGGTTGTACTTAAGTGTAGTATACGGGGTTGCTCGAAAGTTTTAACATAAGCCGCCTCCCTTGAATGCCTGCAGGGGTTCAACAAGTAATAAAGCTGAGTTAAAAGTTTCTTTCACTAAAGCCTATGTCACTGATCTGTGGGTAGAATGCACACCTTTGTCACTGGTCGCTTGAAACAACCCCTTGGTTTTTTTTATTTGTCACTGCACGAACTATTCCGTCACTATCCGCATGTAATTGAGTCACTCTACCCAGACACCATCTCAAGGGTTCAGTTCCATCTTCCTTCACCGTCACTAGACTTCCAATTTTGAGAAGACTGTTGAAATGTTTTTTCCACTTAACTCGCTGCTGGAGAGACGAAATGTATTCCTTGGACCACCTAGTCCAATAACCTTTAATCATTTTTTGAAGCCTTTGGAATCTGTTAAGGCTGTTTTCCTTGACATCTAAGAAGTTCCGTTCAGGTATTGCGGTCAATGTGGATCCAATTAAAAAAGTGTGCAGGAGTAATTGGAAGTAAGTCGGAAGGGTCGTTGAACATTGGTGAGAGTGGTCGTGAGTTTAGGCACGCTTCAATTTGACATAAAACAGTGGAAAATTCTTCATATGAGAGAATTGTATTGCTAATGACGCGCTTTAAGTGAAATTTGACAGATTTTACTCCCGCCTCCCAAACTCCTCCAAAGTGAGGTGATCTTGGCGGTATAAACTGCCAGTTAATACCTTCGGTAGATAAATTGTCCCTAATAGTTGAACTAAAGGTATTAAAAAATTTGACAAGCTCATTTTTTGCGCCAACGAAGGTACTAGCATTGTCCGAAAGGATCGAAGCGCATTTTCCGCGTCGAGAAATAAAGCGTTTTAGCGTTGCTAGAAAACTTTTAGTGGTCAAGCTGCTCACGACTTCCAAATGTATGGCCTTAGTTGCTAAACAGATAAATAGAGCTATGTAACCCTTAATAGTTTTGTAATTTCGGGTATGTCGATCCTTTAGAAAAAAAGGTCCTCCATAATCAAGTCCACAGTTGTAGAATGGCCTAGAGGGAAAAAGACGTGACGAGGGCAAATTACCCATAAGATAGGTTTCTAATTTAGGAGCCACCTTACAACAAATAATACAATCGCGAACGATTTTGCGAACCACTTGACGTCCATTAATGGGCCAAAATATTTCACGAATGGAAGCTAATAGTAATTGAGGACCGCAATGATTTAAATTAAGATGCTCATTTCGTACAAGAATAGTAGTAAAGTGGTGTTTAGAATCAAGGACAATGGGATGTTTTTTATCGTAACAAAAATCAGAATTATGTAGTCTTCCGCCAACGCGGAGTATGTTATCCTTATCGATAAATGGATTGAGGGTAAGTAGTTTACTTTTAGAGTTAACGCTACCATGTCTTTTAAGGTGTGTCAAATCGTCATAAAATGTTTCATTTTGTACTAGTCGAATAATATATTTTAAAGCATTATCTTTTTCCTCACAAAAAAGGTTGTCGAAGCTCCTTCGTTTAGGAGAAAATTTACAATTATTTATAAAGCGTAATACATAAGCAATAATGCGTTGTAGTTTTACAAATGAGGATATTTTAGTGATGATATCCAATTTCATGTGAACTCTTGAGATAAGGGCTGATACTGGTCGAAGCTCAGGGAGTTCAGAAGGTTCGAATGTTATATTAGGCCAATGAGTTTCTAGTTTAGCTAGCCATGATGGGCCATGAAACCACATTTCAGAAGTGATAAGTGATGTAGGAGAAATTCCCCTTGAAAGAAGATCTGCGGGATTCTCAAGTGTATTCACGTAACGTCATGTGTGAGATTCGGTCAAAGTTTGAATTTGAGAAACTCTATTTGCCACAAACGTCTTTAACAAACTCGGAGCAGTCTTTATCAATCCTAGAACAATAGTGGAGTCGCACCAGTAAGTGATTTCTTCGAAATCTAATTACATGTGTTGTTTTACCTTGTCTATAAACTCAGCTAGCAAGTAAGCTCCACAAAGTTCTAGACGCGGTACCGTGAGAATGTGTTTTAAAGGAGCTACTCTGGTTTTGGAGCAAAGTAGATGACAATGAAAATTTTCAAAGTTTTCAGATGAACGAATATAAATGCAAGCACCATATGCAGTGGTGGATGCGTCTGAAAAACCGTGTAGTTGAATTGACTTGTAGTTTGTACAAATTACATGCCTAGGAATTTGTAGCTGATTAAGTTTAACCAGTTGAGTCTGATATGTAACCCATTTCGTAAAGATATCCATGGGAACGACTTCATCCCAAGAAGTTTTTAGTTTCCACAAATCTTGTAGAATAATTTTAGCTGTTATGTTACAGCCGAAAGCAAACCTAGTGGATCAAATATTTTTGATATAGTGGAAAGAATAAGTCTCTTTGTAACTTTACACTTGTGCTCTATAGGTTGAACATTGAAATGAAAAGTGTCAGATTTGGGACTCCACAATAAGCCCAAAGTTTTGATAGTATCGTCAGCTCCAATTTCCAAGGAAAGATTATTTTTATTGTCAAAGTTTAAAATAGGGTCGTTTGACTTCCATTTTCTCAATTGAAAACCCTGACGAGACAATAATTCGGAAGTAAGTGATTGAGTACGTTTGATATCTTCTATTGTAGAACCACCTGTGTGAAGATCGTCGACATAAAAGTCCCGTTAAATTATAGAAGATATGTCGGGAAAATCGGTTGCATACATATGTGCCACTTCTTGAAGACATCTAGTGGCAAGAAAACTAGCAGAAGCAGTACCGTAAGTAACGGTATTTAAAGTATAAGTTTCGAGAGAGTTTGTATGATTAGATCGCCATATGATCTTTTGTAAGGAGCGTTCTTCCTCCTTTATCAGTATTTGTCGATACATCTTTTCTATATCAGCTGTTAGTACAAAATTATGTTTACCAAAACGTGAGATGATAGTAAAAAGATCATCTTTCTCCTCGTCACTACCGGCATCCCCTCTCGAGGGGTGTAAAATGAACGTCGGGTTGTACTTAAGTGTAGTATACGGGGTTGCTCGAAAGTTTTAACAGCACAATTTACAAAACAGTCATTAGACCAATAATGACATATGTGGCAGAAACATGACCTTACACACGACGTAGATGCAAGGTGGAAAATATCAAGAACTGATTAAAAATGGAAAAGTAAAATAGAACGGTCATATAAGCCTAATAAGAACAAATAGAGTAGTAAAGACGGCAATAACGGTCCGCAATAGCAAGGCACATTAAAAAACACACAGAGTTATGTCTACATAAAAAGAAGAAGAAGAAGAGGAAGAGAGAAGTATATAGGTTAAAAAGCAGTTACAAAAAAATGCAGCCCTGTCAATTCCCTTTAGAAATGGTTAAGTGTATTCATACTTTATGTGGGCTGTTTGATTCCAATACAGATTTTTAAAAATCTGGAAATCCTTATTGTTAAGTCCTGAAAGATGTAATAGTTCTATAAGTTTGTCATGTTTAATATTGTCTAATAATGTCTTATAGTAAATAAAGTAGGCGTAAACATATTTTTGTTGACCCGGGCATTATTGAACCAAGACTTGCATTGCAAAGAAGGGTCTCCGCATCTAAAGCGGAAATGAGTTTTACCTAATTTTTTGTGACTTATGTGATATTCGCTGCACGTCTTAGAATTTGATTTCTTGGAAAGTCATAAATCTAGATTTCAACTAGTCCAATGGAATTTTACCGGTTAAGTATTGCACCAGTCGTATAATTCTGTTACTTACGAATAATCTTTTTCAGTGCAAGGTTAAAAAGGAAGCTCGATAGTCCGTCACGTTGTCTTAATTCGTTTTTGTAGCGGAAAGAACTTGAGGTGCCGTTTTGGATTTTTACTATACTTTATGTGCGTATTAATCCCGTTAGCTTAACTAGCTGGAATGGTATTCGGAATCTAATGCCTGGAATAGCGCCTTGAATAGCTCTCGTTCTATTAGCAGAGTAATTTGAGTCAGAATAATAAAGTATGTAACTATTTTTTGTATTACCGGATATATAAAAAAAATATTAAAAAAGTATTATAAAACTTATTTTGCAATTTATATTTTATTAGTGTCTATAGTTTACCTCAGGTAGTTTTTATTATTTTTTTTTGTCTTTTTCTATTAAACTCACTTAAGAAATAATGTCGTTTGAGAATAATTTAATATAAAATCTTACCAGTCACACTCGTAGATTCAATTACGCCAGTACTTAGATCGGCAAAGAAAATTCTATAAAGACTATGGTCATATACTACATGGACTGGACCCACTAATCCGCTTTCGATGACGTGAGTTCTTCCGGTACCATCCATAAATAAACGATCGATGTGACTGTTTCCTGTTATTCCTTGTTTAAAACTTATAAACATGATACTGAAAATGAGAAATTAGTAAATATAAAATTTATTATATTTTAACTTTCGTGACAAATTAGACAAGAATTTAGTTAACCATAAACCTACAATATTCATCGTTTAAGGTAGGTTACAGCTAAAATGAAACTAATATGCTGAATCATCCTTTTATTAAAAAAGTTTATATATCAATCAAGAACATTATTAGCTCCTTATCATATGGTAAACCTACACAATGTGTAGTGCTAACGATTGATCTTAATGCAAAATTAATCTGCAAACCATTGCTTATATAAATGAAATATAAAAAAAAGTTCTCCACTCGTAAGGAAAAAAGAGAATCAAGTGGTAAAATCCAAAACTATTTTATTTATTAAGAGAAGGCTTAAGCCAGAAGGACCTGGCAAATCGACTAAATTTAAGCCAATCTGTTGTATCCTGCCGTTGATACCGCGCTCATAGCAGAAAATATTGACGACCTACAGAGATTACTAAACAAAGTGGTAGAAGCAAGTGAAGAATTTGGTCTGTCACTGAATACAAAGTAGACCAAATTCATGATAATTACAAAGAAACCTATCAATAATATCAACTTACATGTAGGACAGAATCTCATTGAACCAGTACAAAATTACAATTACCTCGGAACAAATATTACCGAGTCAAACGAATACACCAGAGAAATAAGAATAAGAATAGAGAAAGCCCGCAGTGCCTTTAACAACATGAAACAAATGTTGTGTAGCCGAAACCTAAGCCTAAAGCTGAAAATACGAATGCTTAAATGTTATGTTTTCTCGGTCCTGTTATATGGGGTGGAGGCGTGGACACTAAATAAGCAATGTATGGCTAAGCAGGAGGCATTTGAGATGTTACCGAAGAATGTTAAAAATCTCCTGGAAGGATAAGATAACTAACCAAGTTGTATTAGACAGGATGAGTGTAAAAATGAGGAAACTACAATACCTGGGACATATTACACGTGGGAATAAATATCAACTCTTACAACTAATTATGCAAGGAAAGATTGAAGGTAGTCGCAGCATAGGTAGGAGAAGAATGTCATGGTTGAGAAACCTCAGGGAGTGGTTTGCTTGCACTTCCATACAATTGTTCCGAGCGGCAGCCTCCAGGGTCAAAATTGCCATGATGATAGCCAACCTTCGTAGCGGAGATGGCACGTGAAGAAGAAGAAGAAAGTTGTATCCTGAGTGTATCGTCGGTACCAAAATACTGGTGATTATATCCGTCAACAAGGAGGAGGCTGTAAACGAATAACAACGGAGAGAGATGATTGATTTCTTGTATCGAAATCCCTGAGAAATCGACATTTGACTGGTGCTAATCTCAGAGAAGTGCTTAGAGAGGTCCGAAGTGTGGTAACTAGCATTTGAATAGACTAATAACATCATCCATGACATAGCTACTAAGTGATTGTATTAACAATTGCACTTTTTTCATTCCGTTTATTAAAAGATATGTAGAAGATTTAGCTTTGGCACTTCCTAAACACAAAATTCTTGAAACAATCAACATTTTCAACAATCATAATCAACATATACAATTTACAGTTGAGGAAGAGGTAATTAATTCTCTACTATTCCTTGACATGAGAATTGTAAGAAATACAGACAATATGTTCAAAACCAGATGGTTCAGAAAACCCATATGAAGTAAAAGATTTATAAGCTATTACTATCATCATCCAAATAAGATGAAAATGAACCTTATAACAGGATTAAAAGAAACTGTTTTAAAACTTTCTCATCCAGACTATCTACAAGAAGATCTTCAATCGTTAAAAAATATTTTAATTGAATACTCTTATCCTCCAGATATGCTACATAGGATGTTTTTTATTCTAATTTTTTTAAAATAAAAAACTTAATACCATTTTTTGCTAAATCTCAGAACATTCTATCCAACAATTAGAACATCTATTATCATTCACTACCTTTTATACCATCATTAACACCTAAATTAATACAAACGCTAAAGCTTATTGAAAATATAAAAATAGCAACAAAGAACATCAAAACCATTTCATCTTTATATTCCAAAACTAAGTATCCTATAGATATATTAGATAAAACAAATGTAGTATACAGCATTAGTTGTACTCAGTGTGAAGCTGAGTATGTTGGTGAGACCGGAAGAAATCTCTCAAATCGCAATATTTTTCACAAAAGTGATTGCAGAATTAAGAAACCATCTTGTGCTTTGGCAGAGCATTAATAGACAAAGACCTTTTTTGGAAATGGTTTGTATTAGCAAAAGTGATAATAATTTAAACAAAAGATCATAAATTTAAAATCTAAGCAAAGTTTATAATTATATTATTTCTATGTAATTTATATATGAAATCAGTAAAATATCACATTTTGATTTAATTTTCCATGTATTTGTTACATTTTTTCAGGCATCTATCAATGGTGAATAAATCTTTTTCTTTTTTGTTAATTTTTGTTAATAAACAAAAAAAATTTTTAAATAAAATTTTATTTTTGGCAATATAATTGTCAAAAATAAAAATTTTTAAGTTGGTATTTATGACATTGAGGCTTATTTGCAACTACTCAATTTTATTTAGAAATTCAACTGTTTTTGTTAGGAAACTTTTTCAAAATTATATTAAAATTTCAGAGAAACATTTATTAGAATAGAATATTTTTATATTAATATTTATTCTAATATATGTTAGCAGCATTTTTATACACGAAACTAATTTTATTTGGTGAGTTTTTTATTTCTAGTTTAACTTTGTAAGATATTTTGTATTTTTTAGCAGCTCTTGATAATAATTGTAAACACAATTGAAAGCTCGAGTAAAAAATAGTTAACAAATAGCCCCTTTTGTTGACTCCAACCCACCCAAAACAGTTTAATATTTTTTCCAAACGAGTCACAAATACTTCTTTTTTCCTACTCTTATATATATTTATATATATATATATATATATATATATATATATATATATATTTATATATATATATATATATATATATACATATATATATATATATATATATATATATATATATATATATGTATATATATATATATATATATATATATATATATATATATATATATATATATATATGTAAATGATGTTTCTAAGTCCAAGAACAATATTTTTAAAAAATAACTTTATTGACAAGGGACTACTTACTACAGTAAAATGCAAAATAAGAGTGACGCTATACAATACAAAAGTAAATTAAGTAAGCTCGGTGACGCCGAGGTGTAGCGTGCTGACGCTGTCCTTTTATTATAGTTGAATTAGCAGTTCTGGTTTCTTAACTCCTCCGGGGCTAGATGAGAACTATGGGGTGGCATAGTTCGAAGAAATGGAAAATTATCTGGTACCTTTTTTTCTTGTTCTGTGGATTGTTTTGGTGATTCTTGATTTGTCCTTTTTCTGTATATTCGCCAAATGGTGTAGACAAGGAAAATAATTGCTAAGACATATAAAATTATGGTATAAAAACTGACATGTTGAAAATGAACAGGAACTGTGTCTAGATTGTCTATTTTGTTTTCTTGATCTGCTAAAGCACTTTGGACATTATTTAATTCATCTAATTTTATCGATTCTATTTTGATTGGTTTAAGGTTTGGATCACTGACCGGCGTTTTTAGTAATACTTCTAAAGTTGGCAGTTCCATTTTAACAAAATTTGGAGTTTTTAGTTCAAATGTTTTTAAAACGTAATTGTCTATATATATTTCGCACGCACTATTGAGTTCGATCAAGTAACTACCGTTTAATGGAATATTGTCCGAATTCTTATCGCATTTTTGAATACTAATCACTTTGTTTCGCGTTATTACGATCCACTTATTGTTTTCTAGTTTTTGAATTTTTATATTATTAATTTCTATTGGCACTGATTGACATTGATTTACAAACTTTGAGTACTGTATGAGATGAACTTCGCAAGGGGCTGTTGGTGTTACTTCAATTGACTGGACATCGTGGCATAAATATTCTTCTTCTACCAATTTTTGACATTGAACGTTGGCAAGTGCATATTGGTATCGATTGGAAAGTAGGAATTTGGATTTTGGAATAATTGTTCTAAAATGAGTTTGGTATCTGGTCGGAAAGGAATAAAGATGATAATAATCATAGTCATTGATCTCAACAATAGGCAATTCAAGTACAAAAATTATTTTATTTGCTTTACTATAACTTTTTATCTTAATTATTTTTTCGAACAACAAAATATTTTGCAAAGATAATTCAAAAGGGAGTTTGTTATTTTTAAGAAATTTACTGATGTTTAAAATTTCGAGAAATAGTTCATTTGGGTCGGCTATTGAATTATGAAAGGTATTTAGTTTTGAAAAGCTGATAGCAACTTCGATTTTTTCTAATAGGTCATAAATAATTTGGAAACTAGTGTAAAATTGCGATACAAGTCTTTCTAGTGCAAAATAATGAAATGTCTCAACTTTTTCTATCTTTATATCTTTAATTAACTTTTGAACTTCTGTTATTCGTGAGCTTAAAATTAACTGGTTATGGGCTAAGATTTTTGTATTATTTTCAAAATTCTTTATTGAGGATCTTAATAAGGTGATTTGATTTTTAACTATAGTTTTAATATTATTTTGATTATTTGTAAGGGTTGATATAGCGTCGTCGTAACGTTTTGCATCGTTTTGGTCTAGGTTTCCGGTTATAAATTTGATTGCGGAGCCTACACCATCAAATAGAGATCTTTTTGATCTGGTATTCCAAAAGGGATTTAACTGTTTTAACTCAAGATAAATTTTATTTTCCAAAATTTGGATTAAATGATAGGAGTCTTGGAATTCTTTATTAAAGCTTAGAATTTGAGAAGTATTTGAAAGGGTATTTATCATGGAATAATATTGATTTTGTAGAGTTAGAAAATTTGTAGTAATATTTGTTATGTCATAGATATGTATAAAAGTCCAAACATCTGTCTGAATTCGGGCTGTGCCTAAATGAAGGGGTAAAAGTCCGGGATTGTCGTTTAAGTTATGGA